CTGAGAGACCGCCTCCTGCCATTTACCTCCCAACGACCAATAAGATCGCACAGATTGGACCTCATCCGGGTGCCGTCGGCCGGTCAATGTCGATTGGCGGGTCCCCGGGGGAGGGCCTTCTCTGTAGCTGCTCCGGCTCTATGGAACAATCTCCCTGTAGAGATCCGGATCCTCACCACTCTTCCGGCCTTTCGTAAAGCCACGAAGACCTGGCTGTTCCGGCAGGCCTGGGGCTGTTGATTAGTATCCAGCCCCACTCCAACTGTATGCATGTTGTTGATATTTTTAACACTTGTATTTTATCTTGAATTTTTTGATACATGTTTGTCTTGCCTGTAAGCCGCCCCGAGGTCTGTTTTCGGCTGCCACAGCCTCCTGCAACCCTCTGCCAGTGAAAATGGAGCTGTCGTGGCAGCCAAAAACGGAGCTCAGGAGCCTGTTTTCGCTAGCAGAGTGATCGGGTCACCAAAGGTGCTCCCGACAGGAGTGATGTTGAGCATGTCTCACACACACCCTGGCTACGCCCCCCCCCCGAAATCAAACACAACCTTGATGTGGCTTTTTACACACACACACAGACACACACACACACACACACACACACACACACACACACCTCTCTTTCTGATCTAAACTGATGCTTGCAAAAAGGTCGTTAAGCTTCTTCGCAAGTCCCTTTCCATACTGCTCCCCCAACAACTGTGAATTGCGAAGCTGTTGTAAAAACGTAAAGATCTTCCTTACCTAATACACTTCATTTCTCAACAGGACAAATTAAACGTGAGCAACAATAGCTGGTCTCAATGAATTAATTGCCTATTGTTCTGCATGTTGAAAAACAAAGGCATGACTAGAAGTATTAAGTTCCTCATTCTTGATTGATCAACATGTCACTGATTGAACTTTCCCTGTTAATTACAAGTTCGTTTGTGAATAATAGCGTTCTTAAGAGGACCGAAGCTGACAGCTTCCACATAAAGATAAGACGGTCCTAACATTTTCCTAACATTTTCCTATCTTCTCATTAGGATGGCTCATACTTGGCAGAGTTCCTGCTGGAAAAGGGCTATGAGGTGAGTGAGTGGTTTTGCTGACTGACTGCAGACGCATGAAATAATTCGGACAGAGCTTCCTTGCTGTCACTCTCTGGTTATGTTTTCCATTCAGCACGAGATAAGAAATCAAAACCTTTGAAAAGAATGCACAACACGAGCTGTAATCATGCCAGTGCATTGTGCTGTTTATCATGGAGACTGCAACGGTGGAATCCCTCCGATCCTCAGGGTATATAAGCTGTTTTTCCACATTTCCTGCTTATTCAGATAAACAGCAGCCTGCACACAGCCAGGCTACATTAAATTCACGTTGTTACGATGCAGGAGGAAAAAAAGTTAAACTTATTTTGAGAAGGGATTTTGCAGAGGTGGGAGTTGGGGGCCTTGGAAAAATAAATTGAACGGTACTTCAGCAATTACGAAATGTTAGAAATTTGGCACCGTAACGCTCTACCACAGAATGAAAAGCTGAAAAGTGGTACCTCATTAATGAACTTGATCCCTTTCCATTTAGCTGTCATAACAACGTAATATGCATAATATAACAATTCCCCTATTCTTTAAAATGTTTCTGTCATCGTGGCCAATACAAATAGTTTCATCTTTGTTACTTCTAACACTATTCAGCATATTTCATAATAGTAAAGCTACTTTTATATTTGTAACTTAGAAATCATGTCTTTTTAACATAAGCAAAACACGAGAGCGACTGAAATAAAATCAAGGAAACTACCTTGTACTAAACGTAAAATATCTGCTTCACTGGTGGTACTTACACTATAAATAATGTTCTGGAAATAATTTGCCACCGCCTTTGTTTTTGTTTTTTCCTCCTTTCTTTCTAGTCCATCTTACAAACCTGGAGTTTCTTTGTGGTCTATCATCCAGGTTTAATCCCACTTAGTGCTGAGTTTGGCCGGCGTTAGCTAGATATAAATTAAACATTGCTATTGGTTATATCTAGGTAGCAAAAAAGCTCCCTCTTTTTATTGTTCAAGTAAATAATATCAATATGAACCCATGAAGCGATTAAGTACAAATTTTAGTACACGTTTATAATTACATATGTTATACAAGTTCCATAGGCTAGAGATGTTTGAGAGAAATGTCTGATTATTAAGCAAGATAGCAGTAGCAATAGCAGTTAGACTTATATACCGCTTCATAGGGCTTTCAGCCCTCTCTAAGCGGTTTACAGAGTCAGCATATCGCCCCCCACAATCTGGG